TACTACGAAGATAAATTTACCCAAATAAAGAGCAATATTAAAAAAAACTTTGAGCACAATTTCACAAATATTGGGATCAAAGAAGACTTTAAATAACAAACCAACACTCCTGTCCAGTAACGATGGTCAGCTTTCAGCCTCTGATTCTGCTACTGAGTTCAGTAGGTTCTTCTCTTCCTTTGGGTCATCCCTTCCAAATGATATTCCATCTTCCAGTACTGACGTTAAGGACTATCTTACAGGTAACTATCCACAGTCTCTGTACCTAAAGCCTAAAATTCCACTGTCGTCAATGAGATAATCCTTTCCCTTAAAACCAACTCTAATGCCCTTGAGGAGATACCAACTTTAATTTACAAAAAAGCCTCCAGATCTTTAGCCCCTGCTATTGCATTGCTCTTCAACAAGTCACTTGAACTCCAAACCTTTCCAGATATTCTAAAAAAAAGCGAGAGTAACACCTGTCCACAAATGTGGTGATCTCACAGATGTTAACAACTACAGACCTATATCAATCCTGCCAAACTTGTCAAAATTTTTTGAAAAACTAATCTATAAGCAGCTTTACTCGTATCTAGCCAAACACAATATACTTAGCCCTTGCCAATATGGCTTCAGACCCAAAAAAAGCACTAACGATGCACTTATTAATATGCTTAACTCGATTCATACAGCTCTTGATAAAAATGAGTTCCCTGTTGGGTTATTTGTGGACCTGTGTAAAGCTTTTGACACTGTCAACCACCAAAACCTTCTTAAATTACATCATTATGGAGTCAGAGGACACTCCCTGCAATACCTCAAATCCTACCTTACTGACAGGCTCCAGTATTTTTCTGTGAATAATTCAATTTCTCCCACCCTACCCATCAACATTGGTGTTCCTCAGGGCAGCATACTTGGCCCTCTCCTCTTTCTCATCTACATTAATGACCTTCCAAATGCCTCCCAACACCTCAAACCAATTCTATTTGCTGATGACACAACCTTCATTTACTCCAGTCCTAACCCCCCTTGCTCTAAATGCCACAGTAAATACTGAGCTAAATAAAGTCCATCTTTGGCTAACTGCCAACAAACTCACCCTTAACATTGACAAAACTTTCTATATTCTGTTTGGCAATAAATCCTCTAATCAAATAAATCTCAAAATAAACAATACCCAAATTTGTAACAAATTAGATGGCAAATTCCTTGGCATTCTCATTGACCAAAAGCTGAATTTCCAGGGACACATTCTAAATATATCAAAATAAGTTTAAAAACTGTTGGCATTCTTTCTAAGATCAGATATTATGTACCCCGCCCTGCCCTGGTGACTCTCTATTACTCCCTTATCTATCCATATCTCAACTATGGTATTTGTGCTTGGGGCTCTACTACCCAAAATCATTTACGTCCTCTAATTACTCAACACAAAGCTGCTATTAGGACAATATCCGACTCTGGCCCCAGACATCACTCGGTACCCCTACTCAAATCTCTGAATATGTTAGACATTAAGTCACTGCACATTCTCTCATGTGTATTATTCATATATAAAACGCTAAACTGTAATGCCAATCCTGACCTCAAAAGCTTCATAGAAGGTTGTAACAGAACCCATGAGCACCACACCAGAAATAAATAGTTTTGATATTCCTAGAGTACGACTTAATCAAACTAGAAATGCTCTACAAATCAAGGGACCCAGATTGTGGAATGACCTTCCCAACCATGTTAAAGACTGTACCTCTCTCAACCAGTTTAAGATAAAAACGAAGCTATACCTAATAAATTCCCTGTAACCTACCTTACCCCTTTATTGTCAACCAATGTCTGTTTTTTTTTTTTTTAAAGAGCGCTGTTTGTCGACAGAATTGTATTTGTGCTGCTTTTTCAGCTATGTTTTCATTTCATGTTTTCTTTTTACTCTTTATGCTCAATTAGTAGCAAGCTTTAGTCATTTAAGTTTTTCATGCCCTAAACGCTTTGCGTAATAGTGGCTTTAGGCATTGTATGTACTAGCTCTATCTATAAGTCCACCAATCTTTGTAAAAATTTCTTGTATGTATGTACCGTACCTAAATAAACATTATTTATTATTTCTTAAATTACATCATTATGGAGTCAGAGGACACTCCCTGCAATACCTCAAATCTCACCTTACTGACAGGCTCCAGTATGTTCCTGTGAATAATTCAATTTCTCCCACCCTACCCATCAACATCGGTGTTCCTGAGGGCAGCATACTTGGCCCTCTCCTCTTTCTCATCTACATTAATGACCTTCCAAATGCTCCCAAAACCTCAAACCAATTCTATTTGCTGACAACACAACCTTCATTTACACCAATCCTGACCCCCTTGCTCTAAATGCCACAGTGAATACTGAGCTAAATAAAGTTCATCTTTGGCTAACTGCCAACAAACTCACCCTTAACATTGACAAAACTTTCTATATTCTGTTTGGCAATAAATCCTCTAATCAAATAAACCTCAGGATAAACAATACCCAAATTTGTAACCAAATAGATGGCAAATTCTTTGGCGTTCTCATTGACCATAAGCTGAATTTCCAGGGACACATTCTAAATATATCAAAAAAAGTTTAAAAAACTGTTGGCATTCTTTCTAAGATCAGATATTATGTACTTCGCCCTGCTCTGGTGACGTTCTATTACTCCCTCATCTATCCATATATCTCAAATATGGTATTTGTGCTTGGGGTTCTACTACTCAAAATCATTTACGTCCTCTAATTACTCAACACAAAGCTGCTATTAGGACAATATCCGACTCTGGCCCCAGACATCACTCGGTACCTCTGCTCAAATCTCTGCATATGTTAGATATTAGGTCACTGAACATTCTCTCATGTTTGTTATACATATATAAAACGTTGAACTGTAATGCCAATCCTGACCTCAAAAGCTTCATTGAAGGTTGTAACAGAACCCATGAGCACCACACCAGAAACAAATACAGTTTTGTTATTCCAAGAGTACGACTTAATCAAACTAGAAATGCTCTACAAATCAAGGGACCCAGAATGTGGAATGACCTTCCCAATCATGTTAAAGACTTTACCTCTTTCAACCAGCTTAAGATAAAAACTAAGCACTACCTAATAAATTCCCTGTAACCTACCTTACCCCTATATTGTCAACCCGTGTCTGTTTTTTTTAAACAACGCTGTTTGTCGACCTAATTGTATTTGTGCTGCTCTTTCTGCCATGTTCCCCCCTTTTATATTTTTATTTTTAATTGTTCTCAACACATTTTATACTTTAATCTCAATTAGTATTAAGTTTTAGTCTTTAATGTTTTTCCTGCTTTGCGTAATAGTGCCTTTATGCATTGTATGTACTAGCTCTATCTATAAATCTATCAATTTTTGTAAAACCTCTTGTATGTATGTACCTTACCTGAATAAACATTTATTTATTTATTTATTTATATACCCATCCAGTGGGCAGTAGTGGACCCCATACTCATCCTGTAGATGATAGTGGACCCCAAACCCATCCTGTGGGCAGTAGTGGACCCATACTCATCCTGTAGATGATAGTGAACCCCAAACCCATCCTGTGGGCAGTAGTGGACCCCAGATCCATCCTGCAGGCGGTAGTGGACGCCATACACATCCTGTGTGTGTGGTAGTGGACCATATACCCATCCAGTAGGCGGTAGTGGACCCCATACCTATCCTATGGGTAGTTATTGGGCCCAGACCCATCTTACAAGTGGTATGGACCCCTTACCCACCTAACAGGTGGTAGTGGACCCTATGCCCATCCTACAGAAGGTAAAAAGATACTATACTATCCTATTTGCTGTAGTTTACCCCATAGATATTCCAATGTAACATCGTTTTCTATAGACGTTCCTACAATACATTCTTTAAAGATTTTTAAAGCACAAACTAGTGTATATAATGTTGATTGGTAAGCACTATTATACTATGTAATAAATTATAGTGCTTATTATAATTACTAAGAACAACTACTATTTTTCAAAACAAAACTACGAACCTTCAATAGGATGTAGCTGATCTGCAATATTCTAAGAGCATGGACAATAGCAGGTAAATTTTACAACCCATGTGTGACCTGAAAACTACAATTTTCATTATAATTGAACCAATCACGACTATTCTGTTGTCTACGGCAATGGACGGGTACTGTGAGACGTAAATTGGTATGTGAGGAAGAGTTTCGGCCTTGAAAAAATATAACTGGGAATATACCACATATGTACTAATTCATAAGCAAAATAATGACTATAAGCATTAAGTCATATATGTGCTGTCTTGTGCGAGAGCGGGTTGCCAGGGAAGAGGACTCAGGCTTCTAGGAACAAGGTGACCGACGGTTAATCAGTTTATACCTTCCTTGAGAGGCGGGGTGAAATGTTTGAGGATATGGCTGGCTGAACGGCAGTCACAGACCCGCTCCTGTGCCAGGTAAGTCCACTACGGGCTCACCATAGACCATGCTACTTGGAACTTGTTGTTCCCAGTAGCTGAATCTTAAAGAACAACAACACGCTGGCTGAAGAAAGTCTGGTTGTGGGAGTGGAACTGGCAAGTCCTCCAGATCTCTGTCTGTGGCAGCAACGAAGTGGAGCAGACAACTATGCAGGAGCCTGATGTGATCTTAGTGATCAAGTTAAGTCTGCAGTATGTGAGTAATGAATGTAAGACTAACCGGGTGTGGAGCGTTATAGTAATCATTCATTATTAAGGATTTAGGCGGAAGTTACGAGTGTAGGTGGTGACCGCGGAGGTCAAGTTGTTTATGGGTATTGGGAGTTTATTTAACTAGACAGACTATGTTAATATGTTCTTATTTATCAGTCTATTCTTTGTAAGTAAATGAGTAACCTTCCATATGTTCCCTCATTGTGTTCCTGTACAAACCTAGTGGTACGCTTCAAGGGTCTGGTGTGTGTAGAAGTACACGGCGGTAGAAACGGTTGCTGAGGCAAGGTGTTATGTGTTATGTAATCACTGTGTGCAGAATGAACCGGGGTTCAGCGTCACGACAAACTTATGAGCCCATAACTCACGATCCCCTTACTCACGAGCCCCTTACTCACGAGTCCCTTACTCACAATCACCTTATTCATGAGCCCCTTACTCACGAGCCCCTTTCTCACAAGCCCCTTACTCACGAGCCCTTTTCTCACGAGTCCCTTATTCACGAGCCCCTTTCTCACGAGCCCCATACTCACGAACCCCTTACTCACGAGCCCCTTACTTACAAGCCCCATACTCACGAGCCCCTTATTCACGAGCCCCTTACTCACGAGCCCCTTACTCACGAGCCCCTTATTCACGAGCCCCTTACTCACGAGCCCCTTACTCACGAGCCCCTTATTCACGAGCCCCATACTCACGAGCCCCATACTCACGAGCCCCTTACTAACGAGCCCCTTACTCACGAGCCCCTTACTCAAACTCATCCTTCAACTGTTGCAGTCGCCTTCAGCTCCTCTATACCGATCTCTTCTCTCAATCACAGTTCCAGTAAGAGGTAACAACCTTCGCTCTTTTAAGATCACGTATCCCCTTGAGCTTCCTCCTGCCGCTGTAACAGATGGTGGGAAATGGCTCTGGCTAGGTCACGTATGGTTAACTCACAGGCACTTAATGGAACACTGCTCTGCTCCTTATTGTCCCAACTGCATTGTTCCTCTTGCAGAAGTGGACTACCTTGTGGAATGGCTCGAATTTTAGGATGATCGTCGGTCTTGCTTTCCTAATGCCCCTTGATGGAGTTCTTGGTGACTCTTGATAGAGTTCTTGGTGACTCTTGATAGAGTCCTTGGTGACTCTTGATACAGTCCTTGGTGACTCTTGATACAGTTCTTGGTGACTCTGGATACAGTCCTTGGTGACTCTGGATACAGTCCTTGGTGACTCTTGATACAGTCCTTGGTGACTCTTGATACAGTCCTTGGTGACTCTTGATACAGTCCTTGGTGACTCTTGATAAGAGTCCTTGGCGACTCTGGATAAGAGTCCTTGGTGACTCTTGATAAGAGTCCTTGGTGACTCTTGATAAGAGTCCTTGGTGACTCTGGATACAGTCCTTGGTGACTCTGGATACAGTCCTTGGTGACTCTTGATACTGTCCTTGGTGACTCTGGATACAGTCCTTGGTGACTCTTGATATGAGTCCTTGGTGACTCTTGATAAGAGTCCTTGGTGACTCTTGATAAGAGTTCTTGGTGACTCTTGATACAGTCCTTGGTGACTCTTGATAAGAGTCCTTGGTGACTCTGGATAAGAGTCCTTGGTGACTCTTGATAAGAGTCCTTGGTGACTCTTGATAAGAGTCCTTGGTGACTCTTGATACAGTCCTTGGTGACTCTTGATAAGAGTCCTTGGTGACTCTGGATAAGAGTCCTTGGTGACTCTTGATAAGAGTCCTTGGTGACTCTTGATAAGAGTCCTTGGTGACTCTTGATAAGAGTCCTTGGTGACTCTTGATAAGAATCCTTGGTGAGTTCTTGGAATATCCAGCGACACTGATGGTGCTACAGAGTCTACCCGGCGTCCTACCTTATTTTGATACTTACATATAACCTGATCCTCACCTGGCAGCATACCAGGAACACTTCCCTATAACCTGATCCTCACCTGGCAGACCAGGAACACTTACCTATAACCTGACCTTCACCTGGCAGGAGACCAGGAACACTTACCTATAACCTGATCCTCACCTGGCAGACCAGGAACACTTACCTATAACCTGACCTTCACCTGGCAGGAGACCAGGAACACTTACCTATAACCTGATCCTCACCTGGCAGACCAGGAACACTTACCTATAACCTGACCTTCACCTGGCAGGAGACCAGGAACACTTACCTATAACCTGATCCTCACCTGGCAGACCAGGAACACTTACCTATAACCTGATCCTCACCTGGCAGGAGACCAGGAACACTTACCTATAACCTGATCCTCACCTGGCAGACCAGGATCACTTACCTATAACTTGGAGGGTGATCCTCAAGTTTCTGGTGGGTGAGTGGAGAAAGTCAACGCGACAGCGGTACTGGCCCTCATCCTTCAAGTGGACCTTCTCAAGGAGCAGTCCTCGTGGGCTCTTCCCCAGCATCATATACGCGCGGCTCCTGATCCTATGCTCTGCCCAGTGACTCGCGCGCTCGAGGCTCACACCCCGCGAGTCCACACTGGCCAGGGAGAGAGAGAACACTGCTGAAGGTGTGGCAGAGTATAGGTTGGCGAACCTCTTCTGGGATGGAAAGCCTTGCAATTTTCTATTGAACAATGAGATTAGTTCATAGAACTGCCTTTTTTTAGAACATTCCTTAAAATTAAAAAAAAGGTGACCAGTAATCAAAGTTCCTCTTGTATATGGACTTGGGAATTCAACTAAAATGGGTGCATTTTTATGTATTGTAACTTCTTCATCTCCTCGCAGGTATTTGGGTAAAATCACAAAACTAGAGTGTAATCTGCAGGAAGAGTAATAAGTGATGATTGCATGTAGCAATGAAAATACATTTGCGTATTAACAATTAGAGAGTAATGTATTAATAATATAAAACACTGCATCAGCTACTCGACCTAATTATGGGTATATAAACATGTTTAAGAAACTAACAAATAAAATATGGCTTGACCAGAGTGTCTATCAACATATACAAGAGGATTTGCCTTCATACCTTCCCTCAGGAGGTCTGGAGGAGTCACACACACACACGCACAGGACCCTCAGCTGAGTGTAAGGCTCCTCAGCTGAGAGTAAGGCTCCTCAGCTGAGAGTAAGGCTCCTCAGCTGGGAGTAAGGCTCCTCAGCTGAGAGTAAGGCTCCTCAGCTGAGAGGAAGGCTCCTCAGCTGAGAGTAAGGCTCCTCAGCTGAGAGTAAGGCTCCTCAGCTGAGCGTAAGGCTCCTCAGCTGAGAGTAAGGCTCCTCAGCTGAGAGGAAGGCTCCTCAGCTGAGAGTAAGGCTCCTCAGCTGAGAGTAAGGCTCCTCAGCTGGGAGTAGGGCTCCTCAGCTGGGAGTAAGGCTCCTCAGCTGAGAGTAAGGCTCCTCAGCTGAGAATAAGGCTCCTCAGCTGAGAGTAAGGCTCCTCAGCTGAGAGTAAGGCTCCTCAGCTGAGAGTAAAGCTCCTCAGCTGAGCATAAGGCTCCTCAGCTGAGAGTAAGGCTCCTCAGCTGAGAGGAAGGCTCCTCAGCTGAGAGTAAGGCTCCTCAGCTGAGAGTAAGGCTCCTCAGCTGGGAGTAGGGCTCCTCAGCTGGGAGTAAGGCTCCTCAGCTGAGAGTAAGGCTCCTCAGCTGAGAGTAAGGCTCCTCAGCTGAGAGTAAGGTTCCTCAGCTGAGAGTAAGGCTCCTCAGCTGAAAGTAAGGCTCCTCAGCTGGGAGTAGGGCTCCTCAGCTGGGAGTAAGGCTCCTCAGCTGAGGGTAAGGCTCCTCAGCTGAGAGGAAGGCTCCTCAGCTGAGAGTAAGGCTCCTCAGCTGAGAGTAAGGCTCCTCAGCTGAGAGGAAGGCTCCTCAGCTGAGAGTAAGGCTCCTCAGCTGAGAGTAAGGCTCCTCAGCTGGGAGTAGGGCTCTTCAGCTGGGAGTAGGGCTCCTCAGCTGGGAGTAGGGCTCCTCAGCTGAGAGTAGGGCTCCTCAGCTGGGAGTAGGGCTCCTCAGCTGAGAGGAAGGCTCCTCAGCTGAGAGTAAGGCTCCTCAGCTGGGAGTAAGGCTCCTCAGCTGAGAGTAAGGCTCCTCAGCTGAGAGGAAGGTTCCTCAGCTGAGAGTAAGGCTCCTCAGCTGGGAGTAGGGCTCCTCAGCTGAGAGTAGGGCTCCTCAGCTGGGAGTAGGGCTCCTCAGCTGAAAGTAGGGCTCCTCAGCTGGGAGTAGGGCTCCTCAGCTGGGAGTAGGGCTCCTCAGCTGGGAGTAGGGCTCCTCAGCTGAGAGTAAGGCTCCTCAACTGGGAGTAAGGCTCCTCAGCTGAGAGTAAGGCTCCTCAGCTGGGAGTAAGGCTCCTCAGCTGGGAGTAGGGCTCCTCAGCTGAGAGTAAGGCTCCTCAGCTGGGAGTAAGGCTCCTCAGCTGAGAGTAAGGCTCCTCAGCTGGGAGTAAGGCTCCTCAGCTGAGAGTAAGGCTCCTCAGCTGAGAGTAAGGCTCCTCAGCTGAGAGTAAGGCTCCTCAGCTGAGAGTAAGGCTCCTCAGCTGAAAGTAAGGCTCCTCAGCTGGGAGTAGGGCTCCTCAGCTGGGAGTAGGGCTCCTCAGCTGGGAGTAAGGCTCCTCAGCTGAGAGGAAGGCTCCTCAGCTGAGAGGAAGGCTCCTCAGCTGGGAGTAAGGCTCCTCAGCTGAGGGTAAGGCTCCTCAGCTGAGAGGAAGGCTCCTCAGCTGAGAGTAAGGCTCCTCAGCTGAGAGTAAGGCTCCTCAGCTGAGAGGAAGGCTCCTCAGCTGAGAGTAAGGCTCCTCAGCTGGGAGTAGGGCTCCTCAGCTGGGAGTAGGGCTCCTCAGCTGGGAGTAGGGCTCCTCAGCTGGGAGTAGGGCTCCTTAGCTGAGAGTAGGGCTCCTCAGCTGGGAGTAGGGCTCCTCAGCTGGGAGTAAGGCAGCTCAGCTGGGAGTAGGGCTCCTCAGCTGGGAGTAGGGCTCCTCAGCTGGGAGTAAGGCTCCTCAGCTGAGAGTAAGGCTCCTCAGCTGAGAGCAAGGCTCCTCAGCTGAGAGTAAGGCTCCTCTACTGAGAGCCATAGGTCATAACCACATTACTTATGAGGTTAGCGTACCCCCCCCCCCCCCCGTAGTAGCAGCGGTTCTCTGATTGGCTGATGGAGAAACACAGGCTGAAGGCTGACTTGAGTGTGACCTCCACGCCAGTCAAGTCATTCACGGTGTCGGACACACTGAGAATAGTCGTCTGTGTAAGCAGGTAAAGTCCATTAACTAGACCTCGCCATTCCAAGTCTTCATGTACGCCAACATTAATATGTCGTAAATAGCCTGCAAGAGCCTTGTATCCCGTGGGCCAACTATTTACAACAAATCGCGTGAAGTTCGCGGAAACGTGAGAGTAGCTACCACAAGATGTGTGCATGTCCTGCAGTAGCTACTATAAGCAGTCTTACGGAGAGATCAGCAAGCCAGCTACGAGACCCTGGCGTCACCACCAGCTATTCAGATCTCCATAGCTGTGTGTGTGTGTGTGTGTGTGATTGGAAGGGGGGGGGGGGGTTAAGGCCAGCCAGTATTGTAAGTAGTATTTACCGGGATTTACTGTTATCACTCATCTCGTTGATCACCCGGAACAGGTGAAGGCTAAGTGTGAAGATGGACCCGAGAGTAAATGAGTGATTATCTGTGGTATCCCGACGTTCAGAGGCATGAGCAAATGTGTATGTATTAAACAAACACACATTAAGATATGTGCATTCTCTGGTGTCTGTGTGCTTGACACGTCCTAAATGTGATAATTGTGCATGTCTTTACAGCTTCTGTTTACCAGGAAGGAACTCACATTAAGTCTCGGTTGCGACCGGCAGTGTCAGTTTGACCTTGTCTTGTGATTGG